ATTCTCAGACCCCACCCCAGTTTTAACAAGCCCTGCCAAGTGATTCTGATGCACGCTAAAGTATGAGAACCACTAGCTAGAGGAACAAACTTAGGCTTCCAGGAAACCCGGAGTTGTCAGTTCTGTCACTAACTAGCTATGAGACCTTAGACAAATCACTCAGCCTGTGTGTGCCTAAGTTTTCATCATCTGTCAAATGGAGATCATAATATTTGCTCTTGTCTCATAGCAATATTGTTTAGCAGGTTCAAATGAGAAAAAAAAGTGGAAGTGTTTTGAAAAATGTGTTAACAGTGAATTACTATTGTTATGAGGATAAAGTAAGAAACAAAAAAATGTGGAGGTACTCTAGTATCAGTGTGAGCCACAGACCCCAGCATGGGCACCACCTGGGCACTTGTTAGAAATGCAGAATCTCAGGGCCAACCCCAGACCTCACAAATCAGAGCCTGCGTACTAACAAGATCTTCAGGTGAGGAAAGCTGGAAAAGCACTATGCTAATCATAACGCTACACAGATGTAAGGCGTTTATCAAGGTGCACTCACGAGCAAAGCAGAGGGAGCTCCTCTCTCAAGGGCCCATCTCACAGTTGATCAGACACGTAAATACTGTGAACAAGTTCCAACGTTGAGAATTTAGGGAGGGTACTATTAAGTGCCATGTCCTGAAAAATAATGCCTACTAATGAGCTTAGTTCTTACTGCCTGTTCTCAATTCAAAATATTCAGTGTTCTCTATTTTAGTCACTCATTTTATACTCGACCTTCACACAAATTCATCTCCTTGCCTCCTAAGAAATGAACTGGACCCGTTCACTGCAGCAACTTGATCAGATTCTGAAGAAATTCAAAAAAGGGTATCATTTTCTGTACTTAAAACTACAGGGGTTACCCAACTTTCAAGTTAATATTGGAAAGTTAATGTTGGAAAGCATATGTTACTTTCATCATTTTGAACTAATTAACAGTTAGAAGAGAAGGATGGGGAATGTGCCCTGAAGATGCCCATATAATATTCTGGGCTCACCATTTGCACATTTAATAAGTGCCCTACATGGCTCTTATGGTCAAGCAAGTTTGGGAAAAACTACTGTACTCTAAATCCTAGCTCAGTGCTTGTCAACCCTGGCTGCCCATTAAAATCCATCTGGGGAGCTTTAAAGAAAAAATACTGATGCCTGGGGCCCTGCTTCAAAGATGCTGATTTAATTGGTCTGGAGTGTGGGCCTACCAAAGTTGTTGAACAGCTTCCTGTGTGAGTCTAAGTGCATCCAGGGTTGAGAACTGCTGCCCAAAGAAGGCTGACAGGACTTGGTGAGAGCTGGGGCTAACCAGGCTCCCCCTCTATTTCAAGGCCAAGTGTCGAAAGCTTCCTTCTCACATCCAGGTGTGAGTGGGAAACTACAGACTAGATCTATCTACTGTGTTTACACCTTCAGGAGAAGCACGGGCTGCCCTGATGTGGAGATAAGAAATGGGGGTGAACGGAGAAGAATTCCAGATATAAGCACTTAAGCTATGGTAAGTAAGCAAAAATAATGAGAATGCTTTTAGATGGAGTTCACATTTCAACACAGAAACCAAGCAAGCACAAACATCATTAAGACAGCACAAAGGGAAAGCATCAATTCAAACTTCAGTCCCACAGGGCTACCTTCACCTGACCCCACAGATGAGTTATGTCCCAACAGTCCCCATACTTTTCCTGCACAGCAGTTGTAATTAATGGTTATTTATTAAGTTAGTGTCTAAATTAATCTGCTAGATAGTAACCACCATGAGGGCAGGGTCTGTCTGACTTGTTTACCATCTTGTTCACCACCAGTTGGCATGTATTTGTTGAATAAATGAATAAGCATTATAAATCCAACAAGAGGATTTATAATTGTTTATAACCACTAGCAAAAATGATACCTAAATTAGTTGATTCTGTTGCTGAATGAATGAATGGATAGGTGAATGAAAAAAGTTAATCAATGACTGAGCATCAGCTGGGTGCTAGTGTTTCAAATATATCTTAAATGTTTTCTGAATTCAGTTCCAATTAGATTTCATGACAGGGATTACTTAAATGGAGCCTCCTATCTACTGAGGAATTTGGTAATTGCACCCTTTTGGACGCTTCAGTTTTAAGTACACTTGCGTGCCTTATTGGCAAATCTTCAAAAAATGCTGTATATGCATATGCTCACTCCTCACTTATCAGCATGGTTAGGTTCCAAAGACCAGGTCGTTATGTGAAAATCGGCATTATGCAAAAATGGAAGATAACCACATCAGATCACAAAATGCAGGGTGACTACATCATTACATAACTGCCAAATTACATCATTACATAACTGCCAAACCACTGAGAATCATGGCCCAGCCAAGTTGACACATAACCTTAATCATCACAGCCAGCGTTACTCTTGCCTCACACCTGAATGTGCGTTACTGCCAGACATACATCAATGCACAAAACAATCGGACAGTAGATTTTTTACTATTGTTGTAAATGCAAAATGTCAGATAACAAGATAGTCGGTAAGTGAGGAGTAGGTGTACGTACATACCTGCACACATATGCATATGCCTATATGATACAGATAGAGAGATTCTACCCATCACCACTGATTTTATGATGTTTGGTTCACAGTAAGGCTTTGATGGTCATATATGAAACCTCATAGGGGCAGAATCCCACTCCATCCCAAAAGACTCATGTACTCGATATGCAACAGGCAGATATAAACAAACAATCCAAGACCTCTGGTTATATTTTGCCTTTGGGTGACATGGCAATGTTTTGAGTTCAAAGCCACAAATGCAAATTCCATAATTCAGAGTCTTCACATCCCTGACTGAGGATCACATTTTTATTCAGGCTGGGACACTTAGCACCAGTTTCCAAACCTCTGCCAGGAAAGCAAAGTGACATACCTCTGACTTGAGGTCTGGGAGGAAAATTTCTAAGGACCAATAAGTCATATGCATATTACTTGAAGATTAAATACATCATTCCCAGGTTATCTCTTCCAAGATTTTTGTGGGCTAGTTTAAATATTACAACAGTCTTTATTAGAACACCCGAAGTGTTTTATCTTGAAAAGTCAACAATTTATTCAGGTGTAAAAGAACGGCATGGAATGCCCAATTTTACTCTGGTATTTACATTGTGGTCCATTTGCACTCTTGGCTAAAGACTTTTGTAATTCTCCTTCTGGGAAGCTCCTAAAGGTCCAGGTGTCATGAAGAAGTTGTTCCACTTTTATATTCTTTCCTTATTTGATTCTTATCTGGTTCCCATAGCAATCATCAGGCCTCTAGATTATCTTCTTTAATGGATCTCCTGTAGCGCAGGTCTGAGTTTGACAAGAGGAAAGAGAAGTTAGCACGGACATGCACTGCTCCGTCTCTACAAGGGAAAACCAAGTTGGCCTTCAAGATCCCACAGGTTCTTGGGTCCTCCTTGCCCCCTTGTTTTTAGATTCTTCAATCCTCCTCCTCAAATCCCCATCATTGGATGTCTTCAGTAAATGCCATGCCAAAACAGATGAGGGGTTGGTTTGTTTCTTCCCCAGCATCCATTCCCCTCTTGGCATCAGCCCCAGGTTTTCTTTGGGAAGTCCCCCTCCCTGCACTCTCAGTCTATGCAGTCTGGTATGGTCACACCACCTGTATCCACAGATGAGGCATGTGACTCAAATCTGGCCAATGAATCATCACATTTCCATAGCCACAGCAATTGGTTCATGGGAAGGCACATCACCCAATCAAATCTAATGAAACAGTGTGAGAATTCTGGGTCTCTTTCCTAGTAGACATCAATCTGAAATATAAGAAGCTGATAAAGCTGTCTTGCAATGACTAGAAACAGCCTATGTGAGAAAGGATCTAGCATGAAGAGCTGAACAGACAGACAGAAACCAGGTTCTGGTGACATCTGTCAGTCCCTTCTTCTAGCCATGCCTAAAGCAAGAACTATTCTTTGATTTTTGCTTATACCAGTTTGGGCTGGGTCTCGCAATTGAAAAAGTAACTGATACGCAAGCAATTCTGACCCTCTATCTTGGGATATGTCATCTGGATAAGTTAGTGTCTTGCTCAATGCCAGTTCAGTTACTCACCAGGAGTAGCATCATGTTTCCCTAAATGCAGAGGGCCTTGTTGCTGAAAACGAAGAAAAGAGGCAGCCACATCACTGGAAGGGAATGTAGATCCCGGGTCTTATTGTACAGTTGGAAAGATTTATGAACCCCTCCACCATTTTAAAAGTGAGGGGTGACAGACTAAAACCAAGGCTCAGCCATAAAAATACCTAACTTCTTTTTTCTTTTAGGGACAGTGATTCTGTTCTTTCATTCATTCATTTCACAGATATTTACTAAGGATTTACAATATGCCAGGTAATATATTAGAATCTGAGACTGCAAGGGTGCAGACATAGTCTTTGCCCTCATGGAGCTTAGAGTTAGTCCTCTAGACCCGTTAAACAAACTGTGCTGACAGCAGTATTTGCATGGAGAGTTAATTACACAGTAGTCCCTTCCATCAGGATCAAAACTTCTCAAAGTAGTAGGGGCATTTGAATTAAGGTGGATTTACTATTTATCAGTACTTTCCAAGGAAGCCTGCAAGGGCTTTAGAATTAGAAAGGGCAGGGTTATAGGCATCTCTTATATCTTCTTGGTAGGAATATAAACTGATACAATCTTTTTAAGAGAGTGATATAGCAATATCTATTAAAGTTACCATGTGCATGCCCTGTGGCAGAAATACTCAAAATAACTTAACAAAAATGTTTCACTACACTATTTTCAGTAGTTAAAAAAAAAAAACAACTGGAAACAACCCAAATGTTCAAGATATAATATTAAGTGAGGAAACAAATTTATGATATTATTTGTATATATAACCCCACTTTTGTAAGAAATAAATGAACATCTTCCCTAGATGCATATATGTTTCAGATGCCTAGGAATAAAGGTCTGGAAGACTATACACTGAACCATTAATAGTGGGAGGAGATTTATGGGGAACTTTTCATCTCAGTGGGATATCCTTCCGTATTACTGGATAATATAAAAGCATATGAGATCCACAAGGAAAGGGGCTTTGTTTTGTTCACCACAATAACCCCAGCACCTAGAGCAAGGCCAGGCAGGGAAAGTGTAGAATGAATGATATGATGTTTTAAATTAAAAAAATACAGAAACGTTTAACAGTGGAAAGTGAAGTCCCTTCATGTGATCCCAAGAGCTGGGTATCTAGTTCCCTGCTGCACTTTTAACGAGGAGGCAAGTCTGTGTCAGAGGGTCCCCGGGCAACCTCCAGCTCACCTCCACCTCTCTCCTTTCGAGTGTCAGTGAGCTGGGGTTTGCTCTCTTCTCCACATCCTGCAGCTTGAGCAGCTTCTCTATCAAGAACATTTTATCTTTGCCCTCCTGCCAAGAAAAAGAATCAAAATAAAACAAAAACACAGGATAATGATGGTGTGGGGTTGAAAAGCAATTGACGGGAAGAAGGTGATTTTTAGGCAGCTAGAGTCCTAGAAGGTGGATGGAGGTTGCTGCCATGTTTTCTCTCGTTGAAAGAAAAGAAACATTTCACAGCAAAGCCCTACAGCCTTCCTCCATTGTAATATTCTCCTCAAAAGCAATTTCCCTGGTATGCTTAATAGTAGCCTTCTTTAGGCGGCTGCTAGAAGCAATTTACATGCTATTGTCTGAAGCCCCAGGACAAGTGGTTTTCAGTGTGTCCCTTCTTGGCAGGCTCTCTGCTTCAGGACTCTGGCTGGGCACCTACTCTGCCTGGGTTTGCCCTGTCCTCCCACTGAGAAAGCCAAAGCTTACAGCTCTGCACCTGAGGATGTCAAGTATGTTTCATTTGGGAGTTATCTGTGTTAACAGAACAAAACCACAGCCCTGCTTCATTCATCCAGATCAACAATTGGGAAGGGGAGCAGGGGAAGAAAGCAAGCCCTCCCCAGGAGTGTAATCACCTTCCAGTGAACCCCTGCTGCAGATAACGAGAGTGCTGTATTCCACCAGTGTGCTGTGGTGTAGCAGGCACTGCTGACTGTCTGTCCAGTCTAGGTCAATGACGGTAGTCCCATTGCCCATGCCCGTTTCTCTTTAAACTTTCACCCACTAATTTTAGCATCCATCAGTGGATCTTGCTTGCAACAATTATTACCATGGGGTTTGCTTCATGATGATTTTCTATTTTCCTCATTCCTTCTAGTTATTAACTGGAGTTCTACTGTAAAGAAGCGCTATCCTTGGGAACTAATATTTTTAACAAGTCTGCCAGCTGTCTTGGATGTAGCATAGTTTTTTGGAAATCTCTGGTCTATAGCTTCTGTTTTCATACTATAGTGCAGTATGACCCTGAAAGTTTGTAAAAATGCAAATTCCTAGGCGCTACCCAAGAGATTTTGATTCAGAGGCAGAACTGCACTGTAGTTAAGAGTACAGTCTTTGGAGTCAATCTTCCAGGTTCAAATCCCACAATTTACTATCCCTGTAATTTGGGGCAAGTGACTTCACTCTGTAAGCCTCTGTTTCCTTCATTTTATGATGGGGATTTGAAAAAATGTAAATGCCCTAGAGAGTAGTGAATATTAAAGAGAAATTGTTTATCACTTAGCACATTGCCAGGCATCATGTAAGTGCTCAGTAAAGATTTTTGCCATTATTGTTTCCAAGATGGGGCCCAGCAGTTTGGATTTTTAATAAGCACCCAGGAGCTTTGAGTGTAGGTGATCATACTTTGAGAAAGCTTAGCCCAGAATGTATTCTCAGCCTCTTCGCCTGGGTTCTTTCTGAGACAATGGCTCTGCCTTTGTGGTCCATCTTCTGGGTAAGATACTCAAGCTGGTAGACTGTAAGCTAGATTCCTATACACCGACAAAGAGAACTTTGAAAAGGAAATCAGGAAAACAATACCATTTATAATAGCTCCTAAAAAAAATAAAATACTTAGGAATACTAACCAGGGACATAAAAGACCTATACAATGAAAACTACAAAACACTATTGCAAGAAACCAAAAGAGACCTACATAAATGAACAAACATAACCATGCTTGTGGATAGGAAGACTCAACACTGTGAAAATATCAATTCTACCCAAAGCGATCTACAGATATAATGCAATCCTGATCCAAATATCCACAGCATTCTTTAACAAGGTGGAAAAACTAATCACCAACTTTATATGGAAAGGAAAGAGACCCTGGATAAGCAAAGCATTA